CAAAAAGATGAATAAAAATGAATTTATAATAGGATTTAAAAATTTTATGTTTATTTTTGATAGTACGATTAGTATGATTAATACGATTGCTATTAAAATCAGCTAATTTCGTGATTATCAAAAAACAGAATATCCGGGTAGGCAAGCATGTGCACCATCTTTTTTTTTTTGTCAGGCACCTTTTGCCAATGAAGCTTTACACAACCCATTGAAAGAAAATGGTTAGATTCAGCAAATGAAAATATAATAATAATGCTTTGGTCATTCTCACTTTAGCTACATGATAAATCTCACTATGTCGAAGCTTGGGTCCACACCTGCACGGCTCGCTAAATAAAACTACTATGTTTTAAAAAAAGTTCAACCGCTTTTTGTAATGTTTTTGATATGACTGCCGGCATTTTTATATATTTAAAAAAGGTTCAATTTCGGCCCGTACAGGTCTCTAACGTCGGGTTATTACTAGGACAGCTTATCTTAGCAATTAAGAACGCTTCTTTTTCTGAGGCTAAGTCCTTATTTATAATATAAGATTACGTAGAACACACTAATAAATCTAGCAACAACTTCAATATGTTGCACCTACAAGATCATTACAGGCCTCAGACTATATGTGTACATGTAACCAGTCAATTTTTTTATATTAATAAAAAATTGCATGAAGAACACCAGATTTCCTACATGTGACAACTAATGCTCCGAAGTTTGGCCGAAACTACTACTTAGGAATTTAGCCAGTGCTTTGCTACCAATGAAAGATTAGATTAATTGCCGATCTTGATTAAAATTAACTGCTAGATAATTACGCCTATTTTTAACTATACAAAACGAAAAATAATATATAATCTCCCTCAAAGAACCTACCTTCGCCATGAAATTTCTTTACGATTTCTTCAAATTGAGCTTTTTGTTGACTAACAATTATTATAAAAACATTATCTTCCTAGTGGCACTTTTTCCAAACTTCGTCTATCATATTATCATATTTCAACCCTCACTATCACTATTAATATTTGTTATTCATTACAGCTATCGTATTTGTGGCCCTTTTTTTTTCGCGCACATAGCATTTTAACATTTTAATAAATCATGCCTCAAAAAAGAACACATACTCATGCTACTCGAGCATGTGAATCTTGTAAAGAGAAGCATGAAAAATGTGAAAGACTTTCTGAGAAGTACGCCTGCAAAAACTGTAGAAATGATAACGAACGCTGTGTTATTATTATCCCAATTAAAAAACGTGGACCGAAGCCTAGGTCAACTAATATCGAGAGCATCTCTTTTTCAAGCAATTCCTTCTTTCTCAGAACTCCACACCCTTACTACTACTCCGAAATTAACTTTTATGAAACTACAACAACTGAAGAATTCCCGACTACTTCTATTGATAAATGATAATATACATGTGACCGAAATTATTTCAGCCTTATCGAAACCTCATTATGGCTTTTCATATTAAATTCGTCAAATGCCATATCGTTCATAAAAATTCGTTGCTTTTCTAATTCTCACCAATACTTTTTAAACAATCCTCCAACAATTTAACCTTTTCCGTTGGCGTTAATATTCGAGCACGTGATTAACGTTATATGAATTATTTTTTCTTTTCATATCTTTGTTATCCGTATATTATTTCATTATCTTTTTTCGTTATCAGTTACAACTACTTATCTTTTCAACTTAAAAACATTTTATATTGTGCAAAAATTTTTCGTCTTAAATTTTTTTAATCATTTAACCGTATTAACCGTTTAATTTTAGCCCATTATCAATTTAATTCGGCCTGGCACTAGTCTGACACTATGGGACAATTTATGTTGTTAGAACATTTTTCGTTATATAAAATCCCATTTTATTATAATTTTGTTTTTCATTATGAATTTTTATTTTTTGTTAAAAAGTTTTCGTTATAAAAATTCTCTTTTTGTCATAAATATTCGCTCGTTTTTCGTTATAAATCTTTTTAGAGAATTTTATCAAACATTTTTATGCCATTAAGGTTTTTTTTTTTCTTCGCTATAAATATTTTTCTTTTCGGAAATTTCTATCACAAACATTTTTATGCTATTACTAGCTTTTTCATTATAAACGCTTCTTTTTATCACGAGTAAAATTATTGTACAAAAATCTTGTCTGAATGTAAAGTAAAAAATCGAACCTATGTAAATCAAAAGTTTTAAATATATAGGAATAAATATGGTAATATAATAAGTTATAAATTTTGGCCAAGAAAAAATCCTTGATTAAAAGCAATGTGATATTAAAAATTTTAATAAACTTTTAAAAGTAATTAGAATAAATGTGATTTAGCGCATAAATAGTGGAAGTGGATAATGTGCCTTGCTATACATTCTTGATTAGTGATGGGACCCAAATACTTTCGGCACTGATTGGGACTTACGGCAGTTTTCGGTCGGGATATGGGCTTTTGTCGAAACCCAAATGTAATCCCAAATCCCAAATACAATCCCAAATCCCAAATATAATCCCAAATCCAAAATATAATCCCAAATCAATCCCAAATCCCAAACATACTTCCAAATCCCAAAAATATGAGCCCAAATCCCAATGATAAAAATTTTTACTTTGATATGATCACTGATTCAAAATAAATATAATTACAGTTTTAATAAATATAATAACGTTTTTACTGTAATAAATATAATGATACTTTTTATAATGATGTATTTTGACTACTTATTAATAATAAATAAAGGGATCTACTATTTCCACTAGAGGTTGGAACCGGTTTTAATAATTCGGGTTTATCACGTGAATTTTGTGATATTTTAGAAATTTATCCAATTAAATTTTAATAAATTCTAAAATATCACAAAATTCATGTGATAAACCCGAATTATTAAACCCGGTTCCACCTATTTCCACCATGGTCGATTACGTGACCCGCGATCTGCCGGCTATTTTCGACAAATATGCGAGAGGTCACGTGACTCACACTAAGATTGTACCACCTACGTGATTTATCAAGATGGATCTTGTTACACTGATTTACAGCTCGATTTAATATTTCGCATCGCTTAAATGTTAAAGATGCTTGGACCTTCTCAGATTTGGATTCGGACATGTCAAGAAGGATCTTGAACATTAAAAATACACAACTCCCGATCAAAGTTGCACGATTATAAAGATCAGATCTTTCGGTTAATGAAGCTTAATGATCTCTTTTAAAGATTAGGGTAAGCTAACATAATTCGCTTTTGAGTCAGAGTTATAGGCGTTAATGTGTTTATTACTCACGATCTTAAATTTTTCGTATCTTAATTACATGAGCTGCCGTCAATAGAAATCAAGAAAATTGTCATTTGAAAAAAAATTAATGTCTCAACTTTTATAGCTCATACTTCGATAAATTTTGAAGCTTTCTTTTGAATATTAATCATCTAACTGCTTTAAAATTCATTAAAATATGAGCTATGAAAATTGAGGCATTAATTTTTTTTAAAATGTCAATCTGCTTGATTTCTAATGAGGGTAGCCTACATATCCCTCTATAAGAATTGATGAATTCAATCACATACTATACAAAAACAACTGTATAACAAACCTCTTTCACATGATTTTTTTATAAAGAATTAACAGATCTTTTATTATTTGAAAGTAAAGGTAATTGAATTATAACTTTCGCTTTCATTAACTTAATATTACTTTTTATATCTAAGCTAAACTTACTTTTTTTTTTATTTGTGATTTCTAGTCTTTTAAATACATTTATCAGTAAACAATAAAACATAATAAAACAAAAAATAAAAAAGGAATTCTATGACTACTGCTAAGTTTTATTTCAATTTTTTTTTTAATATTTTTATTATGTAGTCTTTAAATATGTTTAAGCCTCACTATCTTCACTTGTACTTTCTGCATTTAGGCATGTTCTACTATTGTACTCAGATTTACAACATATACCACATTTCCTTCCTAATTCAAAAGCAGATAGGTTCCTTTTAGTAGACAATTGAGCATAGTTTCTTATTCCAACTAGATATCTTCTTGTTTGTCTTGCCTGTAGATTTTATATAATGTAGTTAATTCTTGGAATAAGTCTAGTATCTTACTTATAATTACACTTTTTTGATGAGCTAGTAGAGTACTAAATTGCTAGTTATGTTTTTCTTACTTCTAATGTAAAATATCTTTAATTTCAAATAGTTTTTGTTAATTTAATTGATGTTTTTAGATTTTTTAATATTGATAGAAGTTGATAAGTTGTAAATATTAATCTTTTTCAAGAAGTTTCTGAATTTTATGAGTGCAAGGAAGGCCTATTGATGATTTAAAAGTATTACTATAAGGTTGTAGTAAATTGTTTAGTATTGTATTAGATATCTTTAAAAATTGTTTATAAACTTTTTTTAATGCAAAAGTAGATACCTTGATTATAATTTCTATATAGAATAGTATATTCTGTATACAAGGAATTCTAATTATTTCTTAGAAGATTATTGTTTGAATTTCTATATATTAATTTTCTAATACTAAAAAAATTCTTTAATGAACAATATAAAGATCTCTAACTGATACTTGAAAATATCTATTTAATACTACATAGGTTCTTTCTATTCATAATATTATCTTATTACTCAATGCAAA